CATTTGTGCTACTGTAAGGAAATTCTAGAGTGCTACGGGAGCCTGCAGGGAAAGCACTTACTCAGACTTGGGGAGGAGATGGGGTGCCTGGAAGAGCTTCCTGTGCAATTCTGTCTTTAGGCCAAAAGAAGCAAAGGCGGTAGAGAGAGGAGGCAGAAAGTGCCAGGAAGATGAAAACACATGCAAAGGCCATGGGGCAAGAGTGAGCTCGGTAATTGTGGAGGAAGTGCAAACATATCCATGTGTGGTTGGAATATAGCACTCCCAGTGTAAGGCATGGGAAGAGGGGAGGCTAGAGGGCTGTGATTCTGAAAGGCCTTGTAATTTGTACTTATCCTGAGGCAGGGAGCCACTTAAGGGTTTTCTGTAGACAAGGGACGTGATCACCCCTAAGTTTTAGAAAGATCCCAGTGGCTGCAGCACAGAGCATGAACTGAGGGGAACAAGACTGGCCATGGGGAGAAGGTAACATGCAGGTGTGAGGTGACCGCGGGCTGGACCAAAGATTGAGGAGCAGGAGCGGGAGAGACATTTCAGAGCTGGAAGGGACAGTGCACTGTGGCTGAGAGAAGGAGGCAATGGAAAGAGATGGGCAGAAAGATGCCCGGGGTCTAGTTTGGGTTTTAGGAAGCGGGTGGTGTTGGAGAAGCAGGAGTATTGGGAGAGATGATGAAGTTCATTGTGGACACGCTGCATTTGAGGTGTTGAGCTGTTTAAGGGAACAGTGAGGTTCAGTCCACCCCGGGATCTGTGGGTGTGGGTGTTAGAGAGGATAAGTCAATGGGGCAGATGAGCATCCCAATAAATGCAGGAAATTATGCTCCCACTTCAAAAGATGATCTTATAGCTGGAAAATCGGTGGGTGAAAATGGAGATACTGTACAGCAACCGGTAAGTATTTGCAGGACTGGGTCAGAGCCCTTACAGGTGGGCTTCTCAGGGTGTGAAGAAATACACATTTCTCAGCTTCCTGGAGCCCAAGCTAGAGAAAAGAATATAGACAGCAGCCTAGCAGATTTCACCTCCACGTAAAACGACAAACTAAAACAACATGGGTTGGGCCACATAAAAGTTTCGCTCACTCATTTTCAGGCTTTGCTTCTATAAAGGTAATCTCCAACATAAAACCATTTCCTTAGATTGCAGAGTTATAGTCGCTTAATAAAAACTTTTCCCTGCCCCAAGGCAAACTCCCAGGAAAAAATTTCCACATTTTCTCTTTCCTTAACTCATTTATATGTTTTGTTCTTACATTTATTAGAATTTTCCATGAAGCTCAGTTTTACTTTGCTTCTGGAATAAAAACATCTGGCTTTAGAAGGAAGCGACCGTGTAGAAGGATAGGGCCTGAGTAAGTTTAGTTACTTGGCAGTCACGTGCAGTCAGTTTGAAAGATTTTGTTTTCCACGTGTCTAACAAAATTGGGAGTCCAAGAAAAGTTATCAGCATGACACAAAATGCTGCTTTTCTTGGCTTTAGCAGGTGAACAGCCCTAAAGGACCTCTCCAGGAGACAGGGGTGTGTGTCTAAGTATAAAAAAATTGTCATCAGTTATTAAAATACAAGACTGGGTGTGGTGGCTCATGCCTGTAATCCCAGCGCTTTGGGAGGCTGAGGCGGGTGGATCACCTGAGGTCAGGAGTTCAAGACCAGCCTGACCAACGTGGTGAAACCCCATCTCTACTAAAAATACAAAATTATCCAGGTATGGTGGCACATGCCTGTAATGCCAGCTACTCTGGAGGCTCAGGCAGGAGAATCATTTGAGCCCGAGAGGTGGAAGTTGCAGTGAGCCAAGGTCGTACCACTGCACTCCAGGCAACATAGTGAGACTCTGTCTCAAACAAAACAAAATAAAACAAACAAAGAAACAAAAGATACAAGCCAAATGTTCTTATACACAAAGACAGGCAACCCTAAAAACAATGCCTATCATTATGGATTGCATTTGATAGGATTGTTAGGTGTTGTGTTAGGTCCTTGCATATACATGCTTGCTGATCCTTTCCGAGCACTGCCAAGGAGTGGGTAGTGTGGATGAAGAAACCAAAACCAAGAAAGTTTGAGTCACTTGGTTAAGGCCCTATGACTTGTACATAGTCAACAGTCAATGGTAAATAGTATAAAACTCGTAAATAGCAAATAGACAAGCCTCACTCTTGTCACCTCACCATGCTGCTTTCACCTAAATTGTCTTTGTTACTTATTTTGTGGCTTAATTGTTGCCTGTATGATATTGACTTCTAATTGTTTTATTTATATAAACTTTACACGTCTAATTTCTCCTCCCATACCAAACACAGCATTTTCTATTTCTTTTTTGTGTTCCACCCTGCCTAGCACAGCGATGGGCTCATGGCATTCTGAAGAAACATGAACCGGAACTAAGCCTGGTTGCTTAGGATTTGGTGGATAGTCGCAGGGTTAAAAAGTTGCAATTCTTTCTTTCAACTCAACCTCTAGGCAGTTGGAAACAGAAGCAACTGTTGAACCCTGGACTCCTGAGGGCACAGGACTTTCCGTGTCCTGGAAATCATGTTCTTCTCTCTGGTTTTCAGCACCTCTGACTGGCATGTCTTCTGTATTTCCTTTAACATGAATACCGGTGACCAGTTAGTTATCACCCTTTTCCCAGGGCCAGGCTGCCATGTCATGGCTCCTCCGGAGAGCAAAGACAAAACGTGATCCCACGGCAAGGACGTGCCATGCCAGGCCCCTGGATTTAGGTCCTACTCTGTCATTGACTATATATTCCTATACAGAAGATTAAACCTCTCTGTGCCTTGGTTTCCCTATTTATACAGGACAAGGGTAGGAACCCCTGGGCTCTGTGCCTCGTTAGTAACTCGTGGTGGTAAAGTAGGGGAATGGACTGAAAGTCTTATAGAAATGCAAGGTCTCCCACATCATTAGATATTGTGAGACAACGGAAACCAACTCAAATGCCTGGCACCCTCAGGGCTGCTGATAGAACTGCAAAATCTGCTGTTGCTTTAAACTCAGGGAGTCCCAGGGTAAGAGTGCCAGCTCTCAGTGTTTGCCCTTACCTCTCCTCCACTTATATAAACACAGGACTCCATTCTGAAAATTGTCACAGAACTGTCAATGCCACTGACCCACAGTGTAAGATGCCCAGTGAAATTTGACAGGACATTGAACATTTCAACTTGTTCCACTCTCCATTGCTTTGGAGGGTGAGGTGGTAGATTCATCAGGAAGACCCAATGTTCCAAGGATGTGCTGCGCTGGAGGGCCCCGAAGCGTTCGGAATACTTACATTAAGGCCAGTGGGTATGTGCTTAAGGGCAGAACAGTGGGGTATGCTTTGAAAGCAAGTGTGTGCAAACATACCCAATAACAGACATGTTTTGTGTATGACACTATGTCCCTATATTGCCACTTTTTCTTAAATTAGTAAACAATGAATTACAGAAGTGGTAGAACTGCGTATATCTGAATTTATGCACACATACATGATTTATTAAACATTTTATATGGAGAGCATAATGGTATAAATAGAGGTTTCCACATGACTCCATTTTTGTGTGTGTATGGGCATCTATAAAGGATGGCTATCTGCTCAATATTGCCATTGGCACAGCCTTAGGGTACACAATTCACATTTTCATGTTACATTTGTGAGTAAATATCTTAATAACAGAACACATGATAAGAATTTAGTTACCATAAAGACCAAAGAGTTTTCACTAACACCTAAAATCACACTCAATAGCAGCCTGATCAATGTGTAAATTTTGCTATCACTGATGGCCTAAGCTCTAAGCTATTGGTATAACATGAAATACACAGTAAGGATTTAACACATATTAGCTGATGATCTTGACATTCAGAACAAGAAATAATTCTCAAAATAAAGGCCTACACACAACCGGAATAGAAAGTGAAGGCTTTTTCATTATTCAAATGGCAGAAAAAAACCTCATCAAAACTCAGGAAATCAACCCTAAGTATTTAGACATCCCCTCATATTTTTAAACTGTTAGTTTTTTTTTAAATTTAAACATCACTGAGTAGTAAGTATACCAACCAGAAAAAGTCACAATTTTATTCTGATCTTTATAAGATGCTGTGGGTTGCTGATCCAGCAAGAGAGCTTCATGTGATGCTATTTGCTTTATCAGGTCCTGGGCTACACCTTAACCGAAGATGTCTATATAGACGACAAAAACTCACAGAAGGACTTGCCACGATTCAAACAGGGGTTTTTGGGGTTTCTGAGACCCACAGAGCCGTCGTATACTTTGCAGATGTTGAGCCTGCCATCCCAACGACAACCAGCTTTGCGTTAACTATAGTCAGCCCCAAACTGCATCTGTTACTCCAGAGAAGGACAAATCCTTATTATTTTATAGGATCTTCTCTGCTAGGGGCTTCCATAAAGTAAACATGCTTTCAGGAAACTAACAGAGTAATTTTAAGCCAAAATCCATAGTATTAAAAACAAACCCCAAAGGATAGCAATGCATGGTGGGGAGCGGGGGGCGGGAAAAGAGCTTTTAATCAACTGCCTGCATAATTTAAACCGGCGAAGCTTTGAAGCTCCTTAACGTCACCATCACCTCCCTTTTAGACACTGTTACCCAGCAGAAGAAATTCACAGCCCTGCTGCACTAATGAGTAAGTTTCAATAAACACAGAAGAAATCAGTTTCGCAGCCCCCATGCCTTTCTCGACAAGTACTCAAATCTTTCATACCCATTCCAGGGGGAAGTTCCCATCCCAATCTTTTCCCTCATATTTCATCTCTAAGAGCACCCTTCCCCCCTCCAAGATCCACAAGTGACAAAAATTGCTGTTTCAGGTCTCTCATCATTATCTGTTGAAAAACTAAAATTACAGATGAGATCGTAGTCTACCGTCCCAGGAGCTCCAACTGTTCAGGAAACATTAGTAACAGAAGTAATGCTGTATATAATGAAAACAAACATCTCCCTGTCTTTGGCGCAACTGAAAAGCAAACAGCCGGCCACGTAGCTTACCCTTTCAACGCTTCGTCTTCTCAGAGATCCATAAGGTATTTTCAGCAAAAATCTTTGGGATCTATTCGGAGCCACTGCAGCCTGAACCACCATGGTGTACAGCTGTGTGTGTGGATGTGTGTGAGTGTGTGTGTGTGCGTGCGTGTGTGTGTGTGCTCCCAGCAAAGAGAGAAGGAGGCTCCCTCAAAAATAAGTTATGGTCTCCTGGAGAGTTCCCAAATATCAAATAACTGAAAGAGTTTTTCTTTCGACCGTATGAATCAAGATGTGGTTTGTCAGGAGGAGGGGGGATGGGAAAAAAGAAAAGCAGACCAAGTTCTTCAACTTCAGCCTGCACGAAGCAACATCTCTAGCTTTCTTCCATCTGTCCCTCTGTACAGCTGGCTCAGCGAGACTGCCGTGTCCTGGTCATGGGCAAGTGACGCTTCTGGGGAGGGTGATCCAGAAATGTCAACTTTGCTTCTCGTGGCTGCAGATGGTAACCAGGTCAGTTGTCTAATCACAGCTCTATCAGACATATTATTCACTCCATCACGTGACTCGCAAGCCCCTCGGCTGTACAGTAGGTCACATGCTCACCTTAAAAAGACTATTTGGAATATCACCATCTGGAGTGGAGATTAATGCGGAATCCTACATTCTGATTTCACTCTCTTCCGAATGCAGGAACAATATTTGAAGACCAGAGACTGAACACATCAGGGACCTCTTTGCAGTCATAAATTCTATCTATAAAACCAAGCATCAGACATGCATATCTGTCTTCCCCTTCTGCTTTCTAACACATAAAAATGAACGCACGTGTGTAACTCATTGTATATGTGAGTACAGTCCACAGAGAGAAAGTAGGAGGGAAAGAAGAAGAAACTGTTTCAATCACATGGTTCAGATGAATTGAATCAAATCGAACAGACTTGCATTTGGCATCTTCTCATTTAAATGTTTGTGTTACAGAACATTTATTTTTATGCATGCCAGTAAACATGAAGAAATTATGTTTCATTTTACAAGGCTCTGTCGAAGCAGATACATCCATCACGTCTGTCAATTCTTTTCTGATCACATTGTGTGATTTCAGGCCAGACAGCCTTCTTTGATGGATGGCATAAATGGTCTCCAACATTAACTTTTCGGTAATATTTTCATCTATCTGCCTCATCTCTACTCTTCCCTAAGTCAGTTTATTTCCACAGCAGAAAAAATTACTACAAAGAAAAATCCAGCAAGGGGCTTTCAGGGTATGTTCAGTTTTTTTTCTCTTTTTATTTTTAAAGCATTTCTACATACACTGCTTCTGTCTGTTCTGAGTTTTATGAAAGGGATGGCCATTTCCTTTGTGGTCATCCCATGATTTTTGCTATTAGCCTGGATACCACTCATATGCTCTGGGCACTAGCTACGAGACACTGTCTACAGACCAGAGCTTAGTTTATTGAGAATGATGGAAAAGGAGGTTCTGTTTATTCAAACAAACCTAGTAGGAAATGGGGTTGGGGTGTGAAGGAAAGCAGCGGAGTTTTACACTATGAGAAAATGAATCAGAAGCAAAGAGGGGAGGGTGTCACGGCGGTGGCGGCGTGCAGGCTGGAAACCTGGGTTCAGCCCTCCAACGCAGACACACATCTCGAGTCAGTTAAAGAAAGCATCAGGTTGATGTGGGAAATTCCAAATATACAACAATTGGGCTTTGTTCATAATTGGTTCCATGTGTGCAGTGGGAGAGTCAGGGAGAGGGTGAGAGAGACAGGGGGAGATGGAAACCTCTTAACCACGACTCACATGGCGTCTTTGGTGAGGTGGTTTAGGCTTACATCTCTTTTTTCCCTCTCTCTTGCTTCTTGCCTGCACTGCTTGGTTTCAGAGTATTGGGGTTGTTGGGGGGAGAATCTGGAACGATACCTGATTATTGAGACAAAGCAAGAGAATCTCATTTCTTTGTAAAACTGCATTTGACGGTGTAACGCTTTTGAACAAAGGACAGGCGCATTTTCAAAACACTTTGTCTGTTGAGAGTTATACGATGTCATTCTTCCAGCTCAATTTTGGGGTCGGTGGACGGACAACAATGAGATGGACTGAGAAGCCACTGCCTCTTCTCTGACCCAGGCCAGGGCAAAGCCCCGGGGAGCTGAATTTATTTATATTTGACTAAATGCAACTTCCTGTTTCCCAGGGGTATTAATGAGCGTTTCACTGGAGAGCTTAGGCTTTATGGCATAGTTCAGATCATAAGGGACATTTTGATGAACTAAGTGCAAATAAAACAAAAACACATGCATTTGATTAAGGTTAAAATACATATAGAAGAGAATGTTAATGGAAACAAAAATAACCCTGGGCCAGGCTCCCACACATCTGAGTCTCACACATTCCACCTTCTTCCCTTGGGAGGCTGGAGAAGGATCACTTTTCATATTAGCACAAGAGCCTCCTCCCAGATAATGGGGCCCTCCCCAGTCCCCACGGAGTAGGTGACCACCTCCTCTGAGTGATTTAAATGGTCTCAAAGGTTGGCTTGTCCAAAAATATCTTTCTGATTGTCTTGCCATGGGTGTTGGAGACTTACACATTCAAAATTAATTATTGGGTTAAAGTCTTTCTTTAAGAAAAAATAGAGACAGGGTCTGACTGTATTGCTCAGCTCATTTTGAACTCCTGGGCTCAAGCAATCTTCTCACTTCGTCCCCACAAAGTGCTAGGATTACAGGCATCAGCCACCATGCCTGGCCAAGTATTTCTTTCCATTGTTAGAATACAAATATGTTTCCCAGGAGGGGATATGCATTCATACACTCACAGTTTATAACCACTTTAGGAGAAACGTGGGGAGCGAATGTTCACCTAGCACCCATCCGTTGCCAGGCCATGTGCTGTGAGGTTATCAAAGGCGACTTCCAGGGAGGAAATGAGTTCCTTTATTTGTTTAAGTCATGAAGGAACTGGCACTCAGAGGGGTTTAGTAAGTTGGCCAAGGCAGCACAGCTAGAAATGTCGGAGCTAGGACAAAAACCAAAGGCAACTGGTGTGTGATTTCAGGGCTCAGCTTGCCGGTCCCACAGGACTTCATCAGATTACAGCACTTTGGAAATCCCAAAGGAAGATACATCCATTGAGTCCAACAGGAAATGGAAAACTCTGTCTTTGAAAAGAAGAGAATGTCCATACAGGAAACTGTTAGATTGAGCAACTTTAGAGTTTCTAGAGCTGCAGCTTTGATGTTGCCAGGAGCTGGGCACAGGGGCCAGAGGGGCTGAGAAGCACAAAGCAGGCAGGGAGGCTGGCGCAAGCCCTGGCCTAAGGGGTCAAGGGAGGAACTGAGTTATTAGAGCCTGGGGCCAGAGTCACTGAGTGGAGGCTGGAACCTTGGAGACCCATCCTATGGGAGACTCAGCCTGCTGGAGACCTTGTCCATGGTCAAGGGGAGGTGAGGAGAAATACCTGGCCCCTCCTTTCTATTCGCTTTCCAACCTCCTGCCAGCATCTTCCAGCCAGTTGACGGGCAACTGTGGAAATAAACATATAGGCAGGGCAGGGAACGGGTGAGCCATAGATCTGAGTGTATGTGGCCCTGGGCCAGCCCTGGGGGACAGAGACATTGGATCAAAGGACCGGGAAATGATGAATTGAGGGTGAAATGAAAATAATAGCAAGGTGAGGCTGGGTGCGATGGCTCAGGCCTGTAATTTCAGCACTTTGGGAGGTGGAGGTGGGCGGATCACCTGAGGTCGGGAGTTTGAGACTAGCCTGGCCAACGTGGTAAAATCCTGTTTCTACTAAGAACACAAAAATTAGCCAAGCATGGTGGTGGGCACCTGTAATCCCAGCTTCTGGGGAGGCTAAGGCAGGAGAATCGCTTGAACCCGGGAGGTGGAGGTTGCAGTGAGCCGAGATTGTGCCATTGCATTCCAACCTGGGAAACTCGGGGAATCTCTGGAGATTTCTCTCTGCAGTTCCCTGGTCCAAGTGATGTCTCTCTTCCAATGAGCCATTTCAGGTGCCTCTCTTTCCCTGGGCCCCACACCCCTTCTTAGTCTTCCTTTCCTTCCTTCCACAGCCTGGGGGTGAGGTCAAGGAGGGGTTACAATCCTGCTTCTCAGATGTGCCTTGTGCAAGTCCTGCTTAGGGCCTAACCCCTTGCATGGCGTCTCAAAAAATAAAAAACAAAAAACAAAAACAACAACAACAAACACACACACACACACACACACACACACACACACACACACAGAGCAAGAAGAAAACCTGTGGAACAGAGTATTACACAGAAAGAGCAGGTTGTTGTCAGGCTGGTGGATGACGCGGTGCCCTCTGCATCCAGGAATGGCCTAGTGGCTGCTGGATGTGGGGTGGGAATTAGGAGGGAAAGATGCCTCGGGTATGGGGAGGGGGCAGTCAATGGACCGTGTGCAGGAGAGGGAGATGTAGAAGACACTCTTCAGTTCTAGACTCTCCAAAGCTGTGGCTTTTGATGCCTTGGGGAGCAGTGCATATAAGGCCTGTGAAGTCTTTTGTTTGCTTTGAACATTTCCTTCCAGTCTCAATGAAAATGTTTGCATTAAAATCCTGGAAGGAAAATACATAGGAATCGACTAAGCCAGGTTTTAGGAAGGTGGATGTTCTTGCCATGCCACAGGAAGATGTATCAAAGCCAATGGGTGTTCTTGGTCATGAATAGCAGGGTGTGAAAGGGGCGGGGAGCTGGGGGTAATGTTCATTAGAGAGAGAGCATTTTGCAACGTTGGTGGTAATGGAGGCAGCAGCAGGAGGGGAAAGAGCCCACCGGGCCCACGTGTGTGCATGGTCACAGGAGGGGACTCATAGATCAAGCCAGTTCCCGGGCGGACGCATACTGAAAAGCCACGTGAAGGGTAAGTGATCTCCCGACGGAAGCCTGGGTGCTGGCACAGACATGCGGCCTCGTCATTTCAGCCTAGGGTGAGCCTGATGAACCTACCTTATCTATGGGTCCAACTACTTCCCCAGAGCCTGAAATGACTGCTAGTGAGGCTGACCTGACTGTCCCTTGAAGTTCGCTCACGTGTGTGTGTCTGACCTCAGAACTGCCACTTGCTGGCGCTAAGTAAACTCATTTGCATTGCTTGATTTTGTATGTTTGGCGGAATACCGAAAGGACAGGTCACAGGACAGAGAATTTTCAGCTGGGGAGGTGACGGAGGTCACACTGTATAATGGGTGCTGTCACGACACTCCCAGGGCAGAAGGCAGGCTGAGGCCACCATGAGCCCCAGCAGAAGGGGCAAAGGATGGTGCGCTGGAGGAAGAGTTGCAAAGGTGACCGGAGGGGCCTTTCTGATTTTGTTCCTTATCATTCTTTCCCTTGCAAAAGGTGAAACATTGCTTCCATGGAGGAAACAGAAACAATCCAAGGCTGACTGTGTAAATATCTGTCCTAACTTCCACCTTGAGCCGTAATTCCTTGTAACATCTTGCAGGGTGTTAAAAGCGGGCTCTTTCTCAGTGTAGTCTGAGGTCGCCAGGCAACAGGTCACAACTGTCCCCACCTTCTCCGACACGCCATGCAAGGGGTTAGCCCCGTAAGCAGGACTCGCACAAGGCACGTCTGAGAAGCAGGTCTGAAACCCCTCCTTGACCTCACCCCCAGGCTGTGGGAGGAAGGAGAGGAAGACTAAGGAGGGGTGTGGGGCCCAGGGAAAGAGAGGCCCCTGAAATGGCTCATTGGAAGAGAGACATCACTTGGACCAGGGAATTGCAGAGAGAAATTTCCAGAGATTCCCAGCCAAAAACCCACAAAGCACTCCACAAGAACAAGAGTTGGGCTTAAACACCCACCAGTCCCGGAGAAAACCAAGGCCATCCAGCAGCTCGGGCACATCAAGGTCCCTGCTGGGCCCTCACCCCTGGTCTGCTCCATCCCTGGAAGGGCGAAGGCAGCACAGTGAGCACTGGGGAGATGAGGGGGTGCAGCGGGGGGACTCAGCTGGAGCCACACACCCTCAGTTCCCGCTACAGCCATCACCCAAACCTGCCCCCGGCTGGGGGGTGGGAGAAACCGTAGCTTTGATTGAAGTTGGTGTTGTAAGTACTGTCATGTGAAGCAAGGAAGAGGGTAAGCAGGATGAAATTGAACCAGACACACACAGGAAGAAAACATATTCCTCCTAAATACCCTGACTCAATCATTACACATTCCATGCATGTAACAAAATATCACATGTCCCTCATAAATATGTACCTGTAGCTACATCTTCAAAGAGTACATTCTTAAAAGACTTGGAAAATTCCTAGGTGGGAGCAGGGAGTTTAGAAGGGAAACTCTGTGTTTCTTCAACATGCCTTCCCCATCCCGCCCCAGCGACAGCCTAGGTAATTCATGTCACGTCTCATTAGAGGAAGCTGGGACTGAGGTTAGACAAACAGACAGGCTGCCTACATCCATAATTTTCTGTTTGAAAACTGGCTGGAATTTAGGCCAAACATGAAACCCAATATCCGTAAGAACAGGACCAAGGCATCAAGCAACACTCCTATCACCAGACCTCATGTGCCCAGGGCCTGCGCGATTATCTCCAGCTCGCCAGTGTGGGAAAGTTTAGCTTTCTCTTGGTTTTACCTGGGGTTTGCTCTGACACAGTGCGCTGTTTGCAGTATCTGTCTTTGGACAGACTTTTCCTCCTCCTGTGGTGTTTGGAAGACTC